AGGTCACAATGATTTTCTCCTATTTATTGGCTTCCAAGGTATGATTGTGCATACAAAAATTATTGAAAATTATTTTAAAATGAAAATTCTTATTAAATTAAAACTCTAAAACCTATTTCCTAAGATTTTAAGATCAATTTAATTATTTTATTCTACTTGTTGAAAATCTTAATACCCACTTTTAAGGGACTCTTTTAGTAATTAATCCCATTTTCAAATCGAATCAATTAAAATCTCAAATATTTTAAACTGCATTCATACACTTAAAAGCCAATTTTTTAAATATTTAATGTATCTGACTGACAAAAAACGTACCTAAGTTCTTAAAAAAGTCTTTTAATGAACAAAGGCCTATAAGACTTATGTCTAGCAAGACTTTTAAGTTCTGTTGTATATTCTAGTGTCATTCTGTACTTTTCGTTTTATTTTTTGAGACAAGGTCTTACTCTGTCATCTAGGCTAGAGTTTAGTTACATCATCGTAGCTCACTGCAGCCTGAAACTCCTCCATTTTAAAATGCAAGTCTCAAAAGAAATAAATTAATAAAATCAAATACAAGTCTCAACTATTTCCCATTACACCATTTAAATTGGAATCACAAGGCAAATCTTCTGTTAACTGACCTATTCCTCTTAGCTAAAATATCACACGTGTACAAATTCTTTAATGTGAAGAATACTAAAATGTAGGTTTACTTCTTTCTAGACTTAATTGTGACTTTTCTTGGATTAAGGGACGCTTACAACTTTGGGGATTGCCTTCGCAATTTATGATGGTTTCTTAATGACCAAAGAAATCCTCAGTCAGGATGTTAAGTGAATCCTTGCCCAAAACTGGTAGCATACACAGAGTTCTATTTTATAGCTGCTAACTGCTCTGTTCTTAAAAACAGGTTCTCTTATAGCCCTATTTCCTTAGATTCAAGTTAAACATTCCTAATTAGTCTGCCTCCAGACAGGTTATTATATTACTTGATTGGATTCAGTTAATGTGTTTACTATTTCATTCTGTTCTTAATCACTTTTGTGTGCTTCCTATCTGTGAGTGCTACAATCCTGAAGGATTAAAAATGACGTCTCTTTGAATCTCTCTGTGGCTTTGATTCTGTGTGCAATTTTAAGGGCATACCAATAATATGTTTGTTAACAAAAAATAATAATTGTGGTTATGTAATATAATTAATTTTTCTCATTTGAAATTCTTTTCCCAAATGTTCTAGTAATTAAGTAGGACACAACTTTCAAGGGAATAAAAATATATAATATGGTTATGTTTATTATGAAGCATAATCTCTATGATAGTGAAATAGCACCAGTTGTATTTGTACCTCCAGTACTATGTCTAAAGGGAGAAATTGAAACAATAAACTTTAACATTTTTTTTTTAATAACTAATTCTTTCCTCATCTCTTGGTTGACTTCAAGCTTTTTTCCCTCCACTTTCTTTTCTTTTCTTTTTGCACTTTTTTCAGCGTCTGCATTTCCTTCATTCCTTTGGAGCTAATGATCTGGAAAAGCTGCAGTAACTAGGTATATAAGCATAACTAAAAGAGAAAGATGTGGTCATGGGCTTTTTTGTTGTTTGTTTTTTAGAAAACTGCTGTAAGACTACATTAAGTCTTGAGCTTGGGTGATCAGGGTTAGTTCATAAAAAATCTTAATATTCTTTTCTAGCAAAGCAGTAAATGAAAAATATTATGTCTGCTGTTACCTTGATGATAACTTTGAAAAATAAATCTCCATTCAGAGCTAAAACTTTCCCGTGTCTGTAGCTGAGATTAGCGTTATGGTGGGAGGCAGTGTGTTTAGCTTCTCTTGTTTATCTCCTCTTGCCTTGGCAAGTTGCTGTATTTAACCCTATCAGGACCTGAACTGAGAGAAGAAAGAAAGAGATAGCAAGGCAAACATGATTATTTTGAGGGTTTTTTGTTTTTATCAGACTCCTTTTGTAATATGATTTCACAGCTTTAACTCTTTTTGAACTTGTCATGTGGTTGAGGCTGTTGCGTACATACTTCTGGGGGTTGTTCAGAGTCCTTCACTGCACCTATGCATACTACCTGTGAAACTCCAGAAAGATTTTCTTCTTCTAACTAGCCAGTGTTCCCTAACCCTTCTAACCCTCACCCAGGTTTTCTCTCAGGCCATTCTATAGTAATAATAATTCTAATTCTTCTTCCTTCTTTTCCCCCACCCCCTTCCTTTCTTTTTCAGGATGGTGCTCTGGGTACTTCAGGAGGTATTCTGGGTAGGATATTTTTTTTTAACAGCTTTTTGAGATATAATTAACATACCATAAAATTCACCCTTTTAAAATATACCTTTAGTGGTTTTTAGTATATACAGAGTTGTGCAACCATTACCATTATCTAAATTTTTAGGGCATTTTCATCCTCTGGGTAAGATTTTATCTAGCTCTGGCTGACCCTTTTGTGGCCCTGCCTTCTTGCCTCTCTCCTCCCCTAACCTGAGCTGGCTCCTCAGGCGGCATGCTCCTTTATTTCTTCTATTCCTCTTTCCCTTGTGGCTGCCACAGGGTGGTAGCCAAGCCTTTAGATTCCTCAAGTGTGTATCAGGCACCTTGTGCTGTGCTCCCCCAACTCTACGGGAGAGGTAGCAGGTATTGTAAGGGTCCCATTGAAGTTTCTTGAGGAGAAAGGAAGGCAGCTTCCCACACCCTCCCACTTTGGAGGAGACATGAAAATCAGCACAACTCCCTTCAAAGAAATTCTTCTTGTGCAATCTTCTCTGCTCTATATACTGTGTGTAGGCTTTAGAGCTATCTAACCGGTTCTCAGACATAATGTAATACTTTGGAAATTTGCTACAGGGTAGTCTTTCTCACAAGTCACCCTGATATCTGATTGCAAATAATGTCTTTTTATTTTTTACTTTTTCATTTTTGGAGACAGAGTCTCACACTATTGCCCAGGCTAGAGTGCCATGGCATCATCTTAGTTCACAGCAACCTCAAACTCCTGGGTTTAAGCAATCTCCCACCTCAGCCTCTGAACAGTACTAGGATTACAGGCATGCCAGCCCTTGTTAATTGTATTATGATACCTCTGTTGAAATTTTGAAGTTATGGGTATGTTTCATGTAAAAGATAATAACAACTCAAATATGTCTTAAAAAGGAATGAAGCTTCTGTTTTTCCCTTGAATAAATATGCTATTATATAATAAAGAACATAAGAACCTAGAGATTTTTGGTATAGACTGGGGGTCTATATAATCACACTTCTTGTACAAGTTAAATAAATAAATAAAAACCCTTTTGGCTATTCCAAAAGCAGTATCTTACATCTTCCCTTTTAACTACCACATTGTAGACATAAGTAGACACCACTCTAAGGCATGCTTTAAGCATAAAATGTTTAACAAACATTTGGAAAGGAAAGTGTAAGGAGAAGGCTGGCCTGAACTGAGAGAAGGAAGCTATAATTGCTTATAGCTATAATTGCTTTTTTTCAGTCTAGATTATTTATTGCAAATGTAAACTACAAGGAAATAGCATTTCTTGTTAGTTGAGTAAACAAAGTCAGCGTTTGTCTAAAACAGATGTTTTTATAGGTTAATTTTAAAATTTAATGCAAGACTTAATTACAAAAGAGAATAAGTATTTAACATTTTCAGCTCCTTCTAGCTTTTCCAAATCCATCTGCTTCTGCCTACCAATAGATAAACTCTATATATTATGTTTAAATTAGTTTGGTGTGGGTAGAAATCTTAGTAATCACTGTAGAGAACAATTTTCTTTTTAAGGAGTGTTAATTCAGGAAAATATGAGGATTTTGACTAGGTGCATTTTTCTCTTCCAGCAGAAAAATAGAATTATTAAGCCCCATAGAATATCTTAAATTTTATCACTATATACCTGCTTAATTGAATACAATTAGAAAAAATTGACTGTACCAAATGTCACCACAGAGACACTTTTCTGATCTTTCGTTAGTTCAACTTTTGTAGAGTCTTGATTACAAAGCATGTTCACAGGTAATAATCTCTTTATTTGGTGTAGTCACCCCAAATGGCATTTTTATTGTTATTATTCCCATGTCACAGAAGGGAAACTGAGATTTAGAGGTAAAATGACTCCCAGGGGAAAGGGCAAGTTGGAAGCAAAGCAGGATCTAGAAATAGTTGATTCCATTTGGTGCAAACTTTACAGTTGCAGTGTGTGTGTGTGTGTGTGTGTGTGTGTGTGTATTTTTTTTAGATGGAATCTCACTCTGTTGCCCAGGTTAAACTGCCATGGGTAGTATCAGCCTAGCTCATAGCAACCCTAAACTCCTAGGTTCAAGTGAGTCTCCTGCTTCAGACTCCCAAGTAGCTGGGACTTCAGGTATCTACAATAATGCCTGTCTAATATTTTTTCTATTTTTAAGTAGAGATGGGTTCTTGTTCTTGCTCAGGTTGGTCTCAAACTCTTAAGCTCAAGTGATCCTCCTGCCTTGGCCTACCAGAATGTTAAGATTATAGGTGTGAGCTATCACACCCAACCAGTTATAGTATATTTATTGGAGATAATAGAAACCAATGAGTGAATGGAAGAAATGTGTTCCATATAATTTCCAACTTCCTTTACCCTGGCTATAGTGTCTCTTCTCTACCCTTTTTATCTGGCATGGATAGGATGAAATCTGGAACTGAAATCTGAAAAGCCTTCAATTCAATTAGAGTGCTTTGGTTTAATTATCTGTCTTTTGGTGCCTCCTGCTACCCTGGAGTTTCTGTCTTCTCCCATGAAGTGGTCACCACCACTATTCTTCAGTTCTCTGGGGTTGACTAGGGCAAGTGATTATTTTGAGAGGTTTTTTTTACTCCAGTTCCTTTACCTGCTATAAGTTTACCGCTATAAATGTACCACTACAGGTCTTTATTTAAATCGAAGGCCATAGTGAGAAATTAGATGGGGTCCATAGTGTGTCATTGATGCAGACTTTTTACTACTGCAAGTGCAGATAGGTTGGTACACCATCTATTCCCTTTTGTTTCCCAGGTAGTATGCATGTGTCACTAGCTGAGGCCCTGGAGGTTCGGGGTGGACCTCTGCAGGAAGAAGAAATATGGGCCGTACTAAATCAAAGTGCTGAAAGTCTCCAAGAATTATTCAGAAAAGGTAAGGTTCTTTTCTTGTTTTAAATTGTGAGTATTAGGTAGCTAAAAACTCAGAGATCAGAATTTTCTTTTGGTGTTCCTATGCCATTGTTTTAACAGGCCCTCAAGGACGTTCTGAGAACCATTTATTGGATAGAACTGCTAAACATGGGGAGCAGGTGTGTGGGAACCTTTTGGAAAGATGTAGGATTAACTACTGAGTATAGGAAGGTGAAGAGCCTAAGAAGAGTATTTTGGGGACAAATGATAGAGCTTTGTTGTTGTTGATGTTGTTGTTTTCTAATTCAGGGAGAAGAATTTTATTTTTGCTATAACCTTGATATTTGAAGGTATTTGATTATAGTTAGAATTAGTCTAAGGAAAATTTGTGTTTTTTATCTAATATCACTTACCAAAAATCTGACTATTTTAAATAAGCCCTGTTGATTTGTTTGTTTCACTTTAATTTTTTAGAAAATTTTTAGAAAATTAAAAAGTATAGACACTCAAGAGTGTAGAACAGGTAGCCGTGCCCCAATGGTGTTGTTGAAGGAAAGATACATTGGTGGTATTATTTAGCAAATTAATAATAGTCAATTAATATTTAAGAAATATTTCCTACTTATTTACTATATAGAAGATCCAATAAGTAGGTGCCTTAAGGGATTTATTTAGATAAGGCAGATGCATGTTCAATGTTTGCAACTTCCAAACAGTGTGAGTACATAAGGGTTTTTCTCTTTCAAATTTCATGTTATAGAGATTGAATGTTTGAATATAAAATTTTTGTCATTGAGAGATAATTATTGCATGACATATTGACTTATTACAAGAAAGAGATTTACCAGATTTGATGTAAAATTAATTGTGAGGTAGCTGTATCTTAAATGCTGTCCAATGGGAGCTGGTTACCATAAGACCCCTAGTCTAATTCTCAGATTGACAGTAATACTGACACTGATCAAATTTGGCTGCAATCTTTGAAGAGAAATTGAATTTGGCTTCTTTAGCAGTTTAGAGATAACCAACTGTTATGATTGGTAATTAGAAAATTCTGTTTATTTAAAGAAAACAAATGCTTATTTAATTTATCTGGAATCTATGATTTTTCATTTCTTGTATTTAATAACACACTATTTGCCACATGTTCTTCAGTCTCTTGTATCAAACTGAAATTATTAGTTTGCTTATATTTTGGATGAATGGTGGTGGTTTTAGTTTTCTAGTAGACACTTTTATGAATAACCCTGGGAGTGTTGGGGAGGGGGGGACAAGTAAATACAATGATCTCTAAGTTAGTTTGTTTTTCTAAGATGTGTTCTTATCAGTGGCTTCCCCCCCACCCCTCGCATCATCTTGAATTGTATGTTGCTCCTGTGTCTTTTTCACTATATGAGCACAAGCATGCTTTTGTCATTTCTATAAGAGGGCTGGAAAGAAGCATTTCTTTTTTTTTGAGACAGAGCCTCAAGCTGTCCCCCTGGGTAGAGTGCCGTGGCATCACAGCTCACAGCAACCTTCAACTCCTGGGCTCAAGGGAGTCTCCTGCCTCAGCCTCCCAAGTAACTGGGACCACAGGCGCCCGCCACAATGCCTGGCTATTTTTTGGTTGCAGCTGTCATTGTTGTTTGGCGGACCCAGGCTGGATTTGAACCTGCCACCTTAGGTGTATGTGGCTGGCGCCTTAGCCACTTGAGCCACAGGTGCCGAGCCGAAAGAAGCATTTCTGTTGGAGTATTTTGAACAAAGATTAAGATAATTATTTATCTTTTTAAGCCTTCCCGAAATTTAGGGTATTAAGCATGTTTTTAAACAAGCTCATTGTGGTTATTATTCACAGAATAATGATATCTAAGTATAACCTTGTTGAAAGACACCATCTTCCCAAATGGCTTTCTTTTCAGTCGAAGAGCTATGTAAAACTTTTAAGACTCATGCATTTCCAAACATTTAGGTGATAGTAGTTACAATAGGTGGTTCTCATTCTGTTATAAATTTCTTAGTTTCATTGCTTTGTGTTTATTAAAACATGCAATCTGAATGACTACTTAGAATTTTTTGAGATTTTCTTATAATCTTACACATAGTCTATATATGGTTTTTGAAAAGAATGTGTATTTTCTATTTCTAGGTATAGCTTAAGTTTGTTAATGTTTGTGCTTTAATTTTTTTTATATTCTTATTAATTTGTATGCTTTATTTGCCAAAGTCTTAGGATACTTAAAATCTCTGACTATGATTATGTTTTTGTATGTCTTCTGTAATTATGTATTTTCATGTAATTTTATATATACATACATAAATGGAGTAGGTGTTTTATAAATATGCTTTTGTACCTTTTTACAACATTTAATGCTATATAATCTCTTTTAATATTGCATTAAATGCTATACAATCTCTTAATATTGCCAAGTTTACTTTGTTTTTCTTGCCATTTACCAGACCCTTAATTGAAATTCCTCCAAAACTAACTTTTCTCCTTTCTTTATTTTCACATCCTCTGTGTTTTAACTTAGTTTGTAGGGGGAGATGAATTTTGTAAATAGTAGATAGCAGAGTTGTAGTTTTTTGAGTTTATCTGAGGAGACACTATTCTTTAATTAGTAAAATAAATATGGTGTGGAAATGAAAGTTCTAGCCTTTCAGCCAGAGATACCATCTTCCAGTAAGTCACCAACATGACAAGCACAAAGGGAAGGAGAGGCACCGGATTCATGCTCTCTGGGCCTTTTAGAAAACATGGAGCTGTCCTTGGGCCACATACTTGGGAATCTACTAGAAAGGTGATATTGCAGACATCAAGGGGATAGGTACTCTTCAGAAAGGTGTGCTGCACAAATATTACCACGGCAAAATTGGAAGAGTCTACAGTGTTACCCAGCATGCTGTTGGTGGTGTTCTAAACAAACAAGGACAAGATTCTTGCCTGAAGGATTAATGTTCATATTGAACATATTAAGCACTATAAGAGCTGATTAGCTTTGTAAAACACATGAAGGAAAGTGATCCAAAAAAGAAGGAAGCCAAAGAGAAAGGTACCTGGGTTCAACTGAAGTGTCAGCCTGCTCCACCCAGAGAAGCTCAGTGAGAACCGATGGAAAAGGAGCCTGAGCTGCTGGAACTCATTCCCTATGAATTCATGGTGTAATAGGCACAAAAAATAAAAGACTACTGTAAAAATGTTTTTCTTCATTGAGTAGAAGAAGTATATAAATCAAATTTTATATAGTATATATATACTTCCCAAGGAAGTATTTAAATCAAATTTTAATCTCCTAAAGAAAAGAAAAGTTCTGAGGAATTTCAAATAAGGGTCTTTTTATGTTATAACTTACATATTGTATATCTTAGTTCATCTTATTAACGGATTGAGAAGCATACATAGCTATGTCAGAGTAAAACACATGCATTTAAGATTTTAGTTTTTGTATCATGAAGAACTCATGTAGGGACCCAGTAGGCTTACGTAATAAAAAACAATGCTATTCTCCTACTCAGTTCTAGATAATCTTTAGAAGTGAGGTTATTGTTGCCTTGGAAAAGTTAGCTTACATTATATTAGTTGCCCAAAACGGTGGGGGGTTTTGTTGTTAATTGTGGACATATTGCTTTCTGCAGAAAACAGCTTTTTTGAACCCTGGGATTTTAAGATGTTAGATTTGCTGATTAGTTGGTGCTAAAATGACCTCTTCATAACTAAGTCTTGATTTTCTTGACTTAGACTAGGACATAAATCTCATATAAATCCCTTTATATATAGTTACTTCTGGTTCCCTGTTTAACAAATAAAATAACAATGAAATGAGTAAGTAAAATAAAGTTAAAAAGATAATAGAATAAAGTATTTAATAAAGAAGAGTATTATAAAAACAAGCAAGGTAAAAAAAATAAATACCAGCAAGTATCCTGTAAAAATTGGGAAGACCAAAAACAAAACAAACAAAAAAACCAATTGGGAACACCATGTTGTATTTTTTACTATCTTTGAAAAACAGTTTAGGTAAGATTGCAGAGAACGAAGCATATGAAAGTATTTGGCTATATTTCCTTACAAAGTTTTGCTGATTATGGATGAAGATGGCAAATTACTACAGAAGGCTGGGCAAATATCAAGCTTCTCTGCTCTTCACCCCTTAAAAAGTATTTAATAATTAGAATTTGTAGACAACTTAAAGAATTCTTCATAGAGAATGATCTGTTTCTCACTAAAATTAAGTGAAATATTAAGTTTCCTTCCACCCTCTTTTGCTCTCTCCTCCCTCCCTCCCTCTCTTCCTTCCCTCTGTTCTTTCTAGAATTGCTGGCATTACATAAAGACTTTGAGAAAAATTCCCCTGGTACTAAAAGGAAAAAATAACATATAAGAAATACCTACATAAACCCAGAACCCCACACATACCCTATATATTTTAATTAGTGGAATCAAACTCTTGGAGCTAAAGTATTTTAATCTTTCCAGCCTAACTAATCATTTTAGGAATAAAGAAACTAGACCCAATTTAAATGACTTGTAAGAGTTAACACTGACAGAGCAGAAGGAATGTAACTATTTTAAAGAAAGACATTATAAGCAACACCTATTTAGACTTGTAAAATGGGCTTGAGTGTACATGACAATAAAGTTTAAAAATTGATGACTGTCTTGTGAGTATAGCACAGATGTTTGTAAAAACAGTATCAAGTGCAATCACTTCAGATTCTACAGTTACTAAAAGAATAACAAAGGAAAATTATGAACATTTCAATAACTTACATGAAATGGACACATTGGAAGACACAAACTACCAAAGCTCATTCAAGATAAAAATTGACAACCTGAATTTCCCTGTATCTAGTAGAAGGTTGAATTTATAGTTTAAAATGTCCCACAGAGAAAACTGCAGAACCATATTGCTTCACAGGTAATTCTACAAAAAATGTAAGGCAGAAATAATGGCAATTCTATACTAACACTTGTAGAAGATTGAAGAGGATATAACTTTCCAACTGATTTGGTGAGGCCAGCATCACTATTCTATCAAA